CACACACACACACACACACACACACACACACACACACACACACACACACACACACACACACACACACACACACACACACACACACACACGCCGCACTGTAACTACAAAAATATAATAATGTCCAAAAAGAATCGCAAAGGTGAGGTTACTTTACTACTGAATTCATTAATTCCGAAACACATTAATTTTAGATGAGCATGATCAACAGAAAGAAAAATCGCTTCAAAGTGCAAACAGTGCATCGCGGCGTAAAATCAACCAAATTGTGTTTGCGTTCTGTAAACGTTATGAACCTAGCATTTAATGCGAAGGAAATGTAATTCTCTCCCACGGGAACGTCATCGTTTCTTTCTCCAAATAACCGTACCAGCGGCAGTTTATCCCGTGCAACCGAGAAATCGAAACTTCATGTGCATAAATCGTCCAAATTTACTTGGATTTAAGAGGATTACCTTTGCTACTTTTGCTGGGTCGTGTTGAGAAGATATTAAGCTATAAAATAGTACGAATTATTCCACTGTATAACAACACTCGCGTCATGTTTGGTGACTTTAATAATTCGACTGGCATAAGCAAAACTTCAACTGTCATCCAGAACTCTCGAGAGATTTTCCAGATCGTTCAACGCAACATTTTTCGTATCGCCCGCGGTCTATCATAATAACGCTGTAACAGGAATTGTCTGTGCGAAATTTTTTCTTCGACAAACCAACCTAAAAAATATTGGTTCGAAAAAAATAACGGAAGAAACAATTTCACTACACGGCTAGCAAGCCTATGAAAATATTGCCACTGCGTTCATGAGTGATAGCAAATGTGGATAACTGGATTATACCCGGTTATTTATGTTTGGTCATAAGAAATTGATGAAGATTGAAAAAGATGTTAAATTCCATGTCAAGAGGTATGTGGGCACATTATACACATACCAGCACCAATGCCCGCTGCTTTTTCTTCATTTTGTTCTGCATTAAATGTCCGTTTCAATTGAAACCAATTGGCAGCGTTTCAGACTTCACCTTATTATTAGCTACCCCGACGAGCCCCGTTCAGTGAATCGTGTGGACCATTTGCGCAGCATCACGGCAACATCATAGGAATCGCGTGGTGACACGCCAAATCAATAATGAAAAC